TACATAAAAATAATCCTAAAAAATGATTGTTAGCTCATGTAATTTAGTATTCACAGGAATACTTAAGAGGAGAGGTAAATACATATATATATAAAACATAAATATATATACTATAGCTAAGCAATTTTACCATTAATATGAACCAAAATATTTATTTATAGTTTATCATTAAATCCCTAATGTCCCCTAAAATCTTTAATTTAGAAGAAATTTTAAAATGAGTTTACTTGAGCTGTTAGCAAATGCCATTGTATTTGATATATATTTCAGCACATAAGAAGCAGCCTTGTTCCCATGTTCACTTACAGAGAATTGTATCCACAACTTTGGTGACAGCTTCATTAACCTTTTCACAAACAAACAAACAAACAAACAAACAAAGTGCTCTTTGGCTCAGTCTTTCCCTGCAACTTCGGGAGCCACGAACAGAGGACCCATCCCTGCAGCAGCGGGCTGCCTCCAGAACAAGCTTCCCTGGTGATTTATGTAGACCACAGTGACATGCAGAGAGGCATGGCTCACCTCGGAATTAAACTGTTATAAATAACTTGTAAGGGACACCTTTACATTCTGAAGAACATTTCTCTTTTAAAACTTTAACAACAAGAACCTGGTTATGCTATGAAATGAAACACCCACTCATTTGCCACATATCTCTGCTCTCCCGAGCCAAATTTTAACATAAATGGGCAAATTAAATGTAGACTATAGCTTACCTAACATAATTATATGTTGTATTTTACACTGATTCAAAACGGATACGTTAAAATAATCCAGCCTTGGCTCATGCCCACTACAGTCAACAAAGGTTATTGAGGCCAATCGTCCTGCACAGTGCCTGCTACTGTAGCACCAAGGACTGCTGGGCTTGGAAATGGCTCAAAGCACAGAGGATGAACAGGAGCCACTTTCTCCCCCCAAAAGAAACAACAACAATAAAAATGCATGAATAAATCCCCCGCAGTACATAAACCACCAGCTCATCCAGTTCATCTCCAAGTGATTCCTCGGGAAGCTTGGCTGGAATAATACCACTGGATACAAAATGGAGGGTTTTTTTTTTTTTTTTTTTTTTTAAGGTCAAAAGGAAATGAATAAATGTCATCAATTTGGAGGATTTTACACCCAGCATTCTTTTCAGTCTCACCATGAATTTGATAGTGTTAAAACATTTTTATAGGTAAAATAAATGTCAGTTTTGCAAAGAGCGACACCAGCCCCTGGGAGACAAACGGCCTATCCACTGAATCTCAGGCCATGTCAAGACTGCCTCGCCTCACAGGAGACTTGAGCTTTTCAGACTCCTCTTTAGCCAGCAAGAAAAGCTAGCACAGTTTCTTTCAAATGGTAACTCTCCTGTCCTGAAGAGTCTCCTCATAATATGATAATCTTGGATGAGAGGTAGTGGGTTGGTTAGGGGAAAAAAAAAAAAAAACAAAAACACAAATATGTGAATAGTGCTCAATGTTAGAATACTTCTTGAGTGGAGAGCAAAGAAGGCAAGAAAGGCTTGACTGTGGTGCAAAGGGTCAGGCTGCTCCAGGCTCAATGCTCAATAAATTCACAAAGTAATATGCAGGGGAGATGTGATGTTTTATCAGAATGTCATTCAAATCTAAGGTATAGCATTTACATCACAAGAGCAAGCACAGAGTGAAACTGTCCTCTGGGACAGAAGGGGTAAGAATGAACAGTGTGCCGGAGCGTGCTTGCTGGGACAGGGAGTGGGGAACGGGAGGCCGGGGGAGTTTATGCACAGCTGACTAAACTTTCTGAAATATGTGGCTGGTTATGACATGTGCAGCAATTACCACTAATGGAAGGACAGCTATTTCAAAATTCATTCTCCATTCGCCTATAGGCTTCCGGAGACTACCCCTCCCAACAACATGAGAAAGAGAACACAAAGACAGAGAGAAATTACAACACACGCCTCTTCCAAGGTACAAGGGCCATCAAAGGCTGCATTACTCATAAGCAAAATTGAGAAAGTGATGCATGCATTGCCCAAGGTTGCAGACCTTATTTTTCTCACTGAAAAAGATGGAAGGTATGCTGCAGAGCAAACCAAAATGCATTGATCACAGACATCTTTCCACAACACACACACGACTCTGTAACTCAAAAAAGCAAAAGATAACAAAGAATCACTTGTTTAAAATCATAATAATTTGGAGTAATACATTCCATGGAAGAAAAGTCAGAACATCCAGAAATGCCCTTTCGGTTTGCTTAATTCCACAGAATCTAAACGTGCAGCAAACACTGCACTTTTGAAGTGAAATTGCTGTTGAATCTGTGAACCCACAACTGATTTCCTGTGTTATGGAATCTTGGAGATTACAGCTAACTTGAAGCAACAGGGGTAATTCTTGGCAGTTAATAGGATCTTTATATGCATTTTCCTGAAAGGCAGCATCTTGGGTCCTCCAACTAGCAGCTCAACATTGCCCCCTACTGCTAACAAGTAAAACAAAGCTGAAGAGTCTGCCAGAACCAGACTCTCACCAACCAATGCCTATTTCACCCCAATACCCAAAACCACATGGCCCTGTACTACGAGCCACAGAGTCAGGGACTTTTCCAAAGATTATTCTTTGCTGTCTCTTTCAATAACAAAAGTAACTTATCATGAGTTTATTAGAAATATTTTTTTAAAGGCCTGAAGCAATGCTTCAGCTTAATTTAGAAGAACCATTCCTTTTATCTCGGCCCAAACCTTCACTCTGCTGCTAATGATCCAACTGTGGTGTGAGGGTAAGACATTAAACCACTGATGCTTTTCTACAGCAAAGAACCACACTCTGGAAAATTCTATGGATTGCTGTTCGTTTAGTATTTTTTAAATATAAATACTTCATTTAACTAATGTGCCACTAATACCAAATATGTGTACACATATAGAGAGAGCCTGACATACATCTACAGTCAGATGTCTTGTCAGTGAATTAATAATGAAATTGCTGCATGATCACAGTACTAAAAATTTCACTGAGTGGGGATGGAATACTCCTAAATCAAATATTCCTAAAATAAAAACTTTTTCCCCCAAAATTATTGTACAAAATAACAGTTCTTTTCTTACTTGTTTCTAAGTCTTAATTTACAGCTTGATAAAATTACAATTTCAAAGTAAGGCTGATGTCTAGGAATTAGGCCTCAGCAAGCAAGATTCTAAGTGCATATGTAAAATGGACAAAAATCAAAAGTTGTGTACGCCCTATAAAAACAGTTTCTAACCTCCCAGGCTCAGCTCAGGAACAAAGCTAGGCAGGCAGAGAGGGAATATTCATCATCTCCAACTTAGCAGCACACTGCTCTGTCCTGCACTAACTGGGGGAATCGCTGATCCTTGCACAGACAAGGCTGAACAGGTCTCAGAGATGTCCGTTCTTAGAGATGTGCATTCTAACGCACACTTTTAAGCTGAGGCCTTCGGACTTATAACTTGGTATGTTCATTATTAAAAGACAAGGATGAGGGAAGATTCTGAATTAACATCTTTATCAAAACAAACAAACAAAAAACACACCAGGTTGGCAGGCCAAGGGGACACTTTTGGAGGTGACAGACCAGTCTCAGTGTCAGCTATGATTATAGCTCTACAGGTGCATATTTATCACTCAACTCCTCAAGCTGTACACATGTGCTTCTTTAGCTTCCTGTCTGTCAGCTGTCGGTCCATGGAGCTGTCTGAAAAACACTGAGGTGGGGACTGCGATCGCTGTGCACCCCTGCTGTGCACCAGCCCTGCAGAGTCCCACTCTCGGCACACTTCACTCTCCAAAGGTCAGCAGGCTTGTATCGCCTTTCCTCTACATTCCAAATTCAAGTGTTTGGAGGCACATCAGTGAGCCAACAAAGGACAAGAAGCCTCGAGCAAGCCTTCTTGAGTTCAAATCCCAACTCTCCCACCTATTAGCTCGTGACCTTGGGAAAGTTACATAAGGCCTTTGGGCTCCTCTCTCCTCACATGCAAAAATGAGACAACCATGAACATTACATAAGTTCTTTAGTACTCGTAAAATCTTTAGTAATCATAAAATAGCATCCAAGTATTTACGGTCGTTATTGTAGAGGCTCATTAGGCTCTTCCACCTGCCAACTATAGTCCTTGTTACACATACCCTAAGTGCTCTGATTTAGGATTTTGTTTTCACAGTTCCAAGACATGATGTTCCTCCCCAGTAGCCCACCCCATACTCACCTCTCCATAAGGTCCTCCAACCAGACTAGCACCTTCAGAACAGTTCCAGCAACAATGACCTGACCCTGATAATGATCTGAACCACAATGCATGTGTGGAGGTTAGAAGAATATCTGAGAATCCTCTCCTTCCACAATGTGGGTCCCAGGCATAAAACCCAGGTCATCAGGTTTGGTGGCAACTGTCTTTACACTCTGGCTCATCTTGCCAGCCCCATGATTTTTATTTTTAGGCCCCACTGCATGGTGTTATTTTAGCTACAGTAATCATGTTGTCTTCCACATTTCTCTCTTTGCTAAACTGCTAGGTTATGGTGACTAAAAGCATCCTCTCTGTAGCCTGGCAGCCCGTGCCTCCATCTCAATCACCTACTTAGTGACTTTGGACAAGCATCTAATTTCTCTATACCTCTGCTTTCCCATCTGTACGTCAGGGCTCATAGCACTGTCTACATCAATTGTTGCAAGAATTTAAAATCTTGATAAGGAAAACCCATTAAATAGTGGCTGGAACATAAAAACATAAATGAGGGTTGGCTACTGTTGTCACCCTGTTCTCATGCTGTGCCCCAGCTCATGTGTATCCGAGTGCCTTCTATGAAGAATATCAGAAAAGTTCCCTGAAAAGAACTGAGGCTTTACTGAAAAAAATTGCAGGCTGCTCCCGTTACCTTACAGCAAATAACACAATCATTTAGAATGATAACATATACATATACATATACAAAATTAGACAGCTGAAGACTTGCACAGTGCAGTGTCCCAGGAAATGCGGTCAGGCCTCATGCACTTACCACATTCTCCATCTTCTTCCACAGCCCCTCCAGGTGAGTCATGGGTTCACACCACCAATCAGTGCAAATTTTGTATCGATTTCCTTGAAACCAGAACTGCCTCAGCCACTCAAACTCAACCTGTGGACCAGAACAAGAAGGTGGTGGTTATAATGTCCTTGGGATAGACCAACAAGGACAATGACTTCCCCACTTAATTCTCCTTTGGCAACTAAATAGACAGCGGATGAGAAAGGTGAGAAAAGCTTGGCCTAACCAGTTCCCAACATGACCCTGGTATCTCCAGAGCATTCTGAAAGCAAAGAAAACGGATGTTTTAGAGTTGAGGTCCTGCTAGGATGACAGCCCAGTTCAGGTTACATGATTTAGGCAGAAAGAACAAACATTCAGATCCTAAAGTATAAACAGCCTCCACTATACACAATGGAAAGTCATAACGAAGCAGTTAAACATCTTTAGTAAAAGCCAAGGAGGCAATGACATAGACAGATACTAAGCGTATCATGGGTCAGGTTCTTAGGCTGAAAATAAAGAACTTTACCCAAGGGCCAGGAGAAGCCGCCGAGTGTCTTAGCCACATAAGCAAACAATACATAATTAGTTATAGAGGCATTCAACCTCCTACACAGCCCTCAAGGTTCTCACTTGTTGACTCAGCGAGGGCCAATTGCACTAGGCAAACAGCAGCATAGATAGAAGGTACCGATTTATGTTCTTTTCTGTGAAGCTCCCAAGCTGTTTGTATTGCCCACTTGGAGGCATTCCCTCCTACCCACAGGAAGGACACACAGCTCCCATCATCTCTTCTTCAAGCTCAGTCCTGCAGTATAGGCAGAGCTCCAGCTAAGACACTTAACAGTGGCAGGAACCCAGGGTAAAGCCAAACATCCCTCCCCACTTCTGGGTTTCAGAAACAGGCCTCAAGACTAGAAAAACACAAGAAGCCTGTAGACATTTTGCTGTCAAACTGGGGCCAATGTGGCAGGAAGTGACTATGAGATGAGAAGATGAAAATCAGGTCCTGGAGATAGTTATTGAGTACATGATCTATCTCCAAAGCTCCTTTCTACTTAAGCCAGTTCAGGTTTGGCTGTCTGCTCCTTGTAACGCAAACAGTCTCGACACGTACCGACCAGGAGCTGACCAATACTGTAAGGACAAGTGTTCTATGGCTTGTCTTCCACTTGAATATCAAACTATAACACCAAAGCATAACTACATAACTATCACCCCAAACTCCTTTTACCCAAAGGAGTGTACAGTGACCCCAGCACCAGGCTGTGCTGAGCGCTTTGCAGAGTCATCATGTTGCACACACAGAGCCAAGCTATTGTCATAGTCACCTGCGACCACAGAGGATTTGGGTTTGTTTCTCCATTTTGAACTTTCATGAGGCAAACAAAAAGCAACCAGTGAAGATTAACAATGGTAGAAATGGCTCAAGTAAGAAACTGGAGAAGACCTACTCTAATGAAAAGGTTTTGGTTTGCACTAAATAAATGTTTGTTTGATATGCAGAACTGATTTCAGCTAAAGCTGTTTAAACAAAACAAGACAGGAATGTGGGCAACTTTAAGACAGTTGCTATACCTTACCTGTGTCACTAACAGATAGCAGTTAACAGAAGGTAAATCTAAGTTCTTTGAAAGAAGAATGAATATGGCCACAGTTCAACTTTAGCAAAGATCAAGGTTTAACAACACATTTACTACAAGACAAAGAGAGCGCCTTTTAATGGGTTTCACATGAAAGTCAGAATGGCCTGAGTAGAGCCTTGAGCCTCACGTCAGAGAGAGGTGAAGTGGTTTCCGAAAGCTCTCCAACCACTGGGCTAGTAATTTCCACTGAAGAGAACAGAAGTTGGAAGCCTCCATCAAGGTACACAGGGAATAAAAAGGCTACCACATGTAGTAAGCCTGTGATGGGAGAGCCTGGAAGCAGGAAGAGGGCCTGTGGGGGACTCTGCCCTGGCCACGCTGGCAAATTAAACCTTCTTTTCCTCCTCAGACAGCTCCCTCTCTTGGCTCTGCAGGTAAGGGTGCTGGTCACCAAGCCCATCAACCTGCATGTAAGCCCCAGAGCCCACATGGTGGAAGGGGACAAATGACCCCTCTGCATGCCATGGGGTAAGTCTTTCCAACCCCCATTAAAAAATAAATATAACTTTTTTTTTTAATTAAAGAATCAGGGTTCTGGATGTTCAGGGAAGAAAAAAGATTATGGACTGTCTCCTTGTAATGGATAAATTTCCAGCGTATAGGACCTACTAAAATTAAGAAGATATAAAACAATTTAAATCTATAAAAAAGCAATGTGACTGATAAAGTTATAAAAAAGTGTCCCAACAAAGAAAAGTCTAGAACCAGAAGCATTTGCTGCCAAATTCTACTAAACTTTCGGGGAAGGGCTAACAGCAGTGCTCCTCAGACTTCCAACACAGCGAACAAAGCTAGCATTCCCAAAATCCCCAAACCAGAGAACAGCAACAAAAGCTGCATACCAAATTAACTGCTGAATACAGACACAGAATTTCTCAACAAAATCCTCAGGCTCATATAGCATGACCCAGGACCAAACTGGTTCCATTACAGGCATGCAAGAATGGTTCAACATACACAAATAAAGATGTAATAAAGCACATCAGTTATGTAAGGGCAGAAATCACAAGGCCATCAGTAGATGCAGAAGACGCCTTTGACAAAGTCCACTTTCCTTCATAACGGAATTCCTGAACACGCTACAAACAGAGGGAACATACCTTAGCAAAATAAAGGCTATATATGACAAACCTATAGCCAGCATTACACTAAATCCTCTCAACTCAGAAATGACACAGGCTTCCCACACTTTCCATGCTTACTCAGTATAGTGTTCCAAATCTTAACAATAGAAATAAGGCAAGAAAAAGAAAAAAAGGAAATAGAAAACAGTCAAAGGATCTCAGTTTGCATACAAAATAATTCTAAACTTGAGACCATAAAGACACCTTAGAAAACTCTTCCATCTGAAAGCTGCTTTCTGCCTTGTAGAATGACATAAAACCAACACACAGAAATCAGCAGTCTTTCCATATGCTATAAGTTGCCAAGAAAAAAAATAAGAGGGAAAGCCCCATTCATGATAACTTAACCTTCTTCCTCATCAGAGAGGTAAATATATCTACAGTGAAATAAGACAGTGATGAGAAAAATGACACACCAGATAATGGGATGACCATTTAATGCACATGAATTGACAGGATATTGTGAAAATAGTTACATTGCAAAAAGTGATCTACAAATTCAATGCAATTCCCATCAAAAGTCAAATGGCGTTGTTCACAGAACAAGAAAAAAACCCCCTGAAATTCATATAGAAGCATAAAATACCCCAAATAGGAAGAACAATCATGAACAGAATAAGCAATTCTACAGGTATCACAACATAAAATCTCAAAGTAGACTATAAAGCCATAGTGACAAAAATAACATAGCAATGACACAAAACCAGACCCACTGAGCAATGTAATTAAATGGAGTATCCAGAGATAAAACCACATAATTGGGGCCACCTAAACTCTTACAAAGATGTCACATTGGAAAAATGATATCTTCTTCAATAATGGTGCTGGGAAAACTGGGTATCCACATGTAAAAGAATGAAACAAGACATGAAACAATGTTTATCTTTTACCATAAACAAAAATAAATTCAAAATGGATCAAAGAACTTAACATAAGACTTGAAACTCTGAAATTGCTAAGAAAGGCAAAACATTTCAGGATAGAGACACAGGCAAGGACTTTCTGGAAAAAGCCTCAAAAGCACAAAAAATAACCCTAAGAACAACAATTAGATTAAATGAAATTAAGAACTTTGACACAGAGATGAAAACAATCATTAAATCAAAGAGACAACCCACAGAACAGGAAAAGAATTTTGCCAATTATACACCCAACAGGGGATTACTACCTGGATTCCAAAAGAATTCCAAAACTAAATATCACCCAGTCAATAAATGGAATGAATTGAATAGACAAGAGTTCTCAGAGGAAGAAATACAAGTGATCAATAAGTATTCAACATCCTTCGCCATTAGCAAAATGCAAATTAAAGCCACCTAGAAATCCCATTGCAGCCCAGTTAGACCTTGAAAGAAAAATTCTCACCTTCCTATGGAACAACAAGAAACCCAGAATTGCTAAAACAATTCTCTACAGTAAAAGATCTTCAGGAGGTATCTCCATCCCTGATTTCAAGCTGTACTATAGAGCAACATTACTAAAAACTGCATGGTACTGGCATAGAAACAGACTGGTGGATCAATGGAATCAAATAGAAGACCCTGACATAAATCCACACACTTATGGACACCTGATTTTTGACAAAGATGCCAAATCCATTCAATGAAAAAAAAGACAGCATCTTCAACAAATGGTGCTGGTCTAACTGGAAGTCTACATGTAGAAAAATACAAATAGATCCATACTTATCACCCTGCACAAAACTAAAGTCCAAGTAGATCAAGACCTCAACATAAAACCAGACACACTAAACTGCTTAGAAGAAAAAGTAGGGAATACCCTTGAACTCATTGGCACAGGAGACAACTTCCTGAACAGAACACCAACAGCACAGGCTCTAAGAGCATCAATCAATAAATGGGAACTCATGAAACTGAAAAGATTCTGTAAAGCAAAGGACAGTGTCCTCAGAACAAAATGACAGCCTACAGATTGGGAAAGGATCTTCACCAACCCTATATCTGACAGAGGGCTGCTATCTAGTATATATAAAGACCTCAAGAAGTTAAGCAGCAACAAATCAAGTAATCCAATTAAAAAATGGGATACAGAGCTAAACAGAGAATTCTCAATAGAGGAATATCGAATGGCAGAGAAACACTTAAAGAAATGCTCAACCTCATTAGCCATCAGGGAAATGCAAATCAAAACGACCCTAAGATTTCACCTTACACCCATCAGAATGGCCAAGATCAAAAACTCAAATGACAACACATGCTGGAGAGATTGTGAAGAAAGGGGAACCCTCCTCCACTGCTGGTGGGAATGTAAACTTGTACAACCACTCTGGAAAGCAATCTGGCGCTTTCTCAGACAACTAGAAATAGCGCTTCCTCAA